CATGAGGGAATGACAAATGTAAAAAATTTTACCTGGTTTGATTCATTCAAATTTATTCCACAGCAAAGCTTCCTTAAGTTGAAGATGGAAACATACTGCAATTTTGTTCTGTGATGCCAGTTGTTAACTGCTAAAGTTTTAATTAAAATATTTTTATTCTAAGAAGATTGCAGGTGATAAGAACATTGCTGTAAGTGAATGACGCGAAACACTAGGGACAATGTTTAAAATAGTGCTGTCTTAACATTTTTATCAGAAATTAAATTTAAAATTGATTTTCTGAATTCTATATTTTAATAGTCTGAAATAAAAAACACGAATTTGTAAATTTTTATTTCAGAAACAATTTTTTCTTTTTTTAAATCAACAGTGGGGACAAGTGAGGGAATGACATATTGGTATATTTTAATTACCTAAAATAAATAAAAAATAAAAATTAATAATTTTATTTTTATTCTTTTGTTAGCCTGCATTCTGAAGGACACTTTCCCTGAAATTTTTTTTTTCGTAAGTTGTAAAACAAACATAAAATATACTGGGGACATGAAAATGACTGTTTTTGTGAGAATGACCCATATATATATATATACAAAATATCTTATTCATAAACTGAAAAAAAAGATACTAAATGCTAATTTAAAGTTATTTGTTTCTATAAATGTTTCATGAGTAAACGAGCTTTAAAAACGGAAGTAAAGCTTATTTATTCATGCAATCAGTGCAAGAGGCATAGAGAAATATTTAATCTGTAAGAATAGAACAGAAGATACAGTAAAAGGCCACAAAGTTTGACCGGTCTTCTAACAAAACAACTGCAATTTTATCTTCTAGCTTGCAGTTGTTTCATAGAACAAGGAAGTCAAAAATACTAATCTGTTGAGTCTCACAATGGACTAATCGTAAAGACTCGGTTCCCAGTAGATTATTGAAGTCAAGCATCATTTGCTGCTGTCGGGTGGGTGACTGGTTTGATCAACCTGCGTAAGGAACGAGGGTGCGTAGTATCGATTCCCGTTAAACTGTTTTACCATTAGTGATCGACTTCGCTTGCAGGTCTTTGAATTACCAAAGCAGGGAGCCACCCTCACTGTTGAGGATTAAAATTGAGATGGTAGGTCTTCGGATCATCCTCAGGGATGTTTGCCAGAACGTCACTAATAGCCCATCACGCACCTCTAGTGCAACCTAAATAAAATACCAACCTACCTAACCTGCGGAAAAAAATATAAATTCATTCAGAGAAAAAAATGTTTCTTGAAGTCTGATTTTGCATTTTTAATTATAATAAGCAGTTATAGATAAGTATGTCTTGGATGAGTCCATTAATTCATGAATGGTGTGTTTCAGTATGTAAAAAATCCGATAATTAAGTCAAAAGAGGTGCAAAGTTTTTTTTTTTACTTTGCTCACTGCAAGCAGCAAAATAACTAACTAAACATCTAAGATATTTTTTTCTAAATATGTGTTCTTGATTTATGAATATGATAGAAAATAAAATTAAATAAAAACATATTAATCAAGGCTGTTTTTTCGTTTTCCTTTTAGAAAATGATAACATTATTAAGGGAAATAATTTTCCTAATGCGTTCTTAATTACCACATGATATTTTGAATTTTTAACAAAAGAAGGAAATAATTAATTGCTTATAAAAAGATGCATTTCAGAAATATTTCAACAAAAGTAATAAAACGCACATAATTTGGCGCAATTTGAGACGTTAATTAATACTGCTAATGGAAGGATGTAAGAATTCATTTAAACTAGAATATCATTATGAAGGAGAATAAAGTGCCATAATTTTGTAAAGTGTGAAATTTGCACCCAAAATGAAAACAGTTTATAACAACCGCTGAAATTTTTATTTTGAGTGTTTCGCTAATTTTCCTAATTAAGATGCTTAAGAGAGTCATTAAATTCTCTTGAATACAAATTTACTTTATGAAAATGCCGCTCTTTCATCGATGTGTTTGTTCTTGTATTTTGTTCATGGTAGTGAATAAATATTTTCTTGGTAGTTTACATCGGCACTGTCTTAAGCGCATGGGTTCGATTTACCTGAGTCACGCAGTGGACTGATTGTAATACACGGTTCCCAGCAAATCACCGAAGTCAAGCATCACAGGCTGCGGTCAATGTGCGGGTGGGTGACCACTTGGATCAGTCTGTGTAGGGACTGAGAGTGTGCGGTATTGGTCCTCGTTAAAATGCTACCGAAGCGGGGGTGCCATTCCCTCTGCAGAGGATCAGAACTGTGATGGCATGTCTTCAGATCATCCTCAGGGATGTTTCCCAGACCGTAGCCAATAGCCCATTGTGCAGTTTTTAGTAAATGAACTACAACAACAATGATTTACCTGTCCGAAAACCTGGGGGTCTGATTGGACAGCACTTTCTACGTTCATGTCTGTGGGGTTTGAGTTGTAGTTCATTTACGTCGCACTAGACTTCGGAACATCCCTGAGGATGATCCGAAGACATGCCATCACACTTTTAATCCTCTGCAGAGGGGATGGCACCCCCGCTTTGGTTGTGGGGTTTGAAATCCACCCTAAAGCAATGTTTCCGGGTGGCGGTTTATTCTGAAGCGTGGTGAGGAGTCTCCGACTTCGGTGGAGCTCTTTGCTGAGGTTTTTAGTGATTAATGAGCAAAAAGCTTGTAAGTTGCACAAGTTGTTCTGAGTACATTGTATTGGACCACAGTCCCACCCCAGGGGCTTCCCTGGCCGAGCGGTATCGTCGGTTCAAACGCTCTGTTAAGCGTGGAGGTAGCGGGTTCGAATCCTGCCGAAACCCTGGATGTATTCTTTGTGATGTCTTTCTCTGAATTGTTCTATCTGTATTTTCTACTTGACAATGACTTACAAGCCTATATTGAGCACACAAGTCAGCAAATGTATGTAATTTCAATAAATCACAATCAGTCCCACCCTCTTCAAGTTTGTGAGCTTAATTCTTTTGAAACTCTTCGGATTCATTGAATATTCGGAGTTATTGGATATATTAGGCAAAAGAACAAATGGACTCAGTTAGGTTTTCCAGACCGTCGCTAATAGCTCATTGTGCTGCTCTAGTGCGACGCAAATAAAGTACCCACTCATCTCGGCAGATACCGGAGCTATTCCACTCTTATTGAAATCTGCAAGCACCTTCCGAAGAAAAGCTTGCTGAAGTTAGAAAAAAACCCAACTTTGAATACATTATAAGTTTCTGGTATTTCCTTTATCTTATCCACATTCACTCGTTTTTCTCTAGGCAGAATAAACACAGAGCTATAAGTTTACGCCGCAAAGAGCTAGTCGCCCTACATTCTACAGTCTACAATCAAAATGTTATCCAAATCAATAGGGGCCTCCCTGGCTGAGCAGTATCGCCTGCCAAACGCTCTGTTAAGCGTGGAGGTGGCAGGTTCGAATCCCGCAGTTACCCTGGATGTATTCTTTGTGATGTCCTTCTCTGTATTGTGCTATCCGCCCTTCTACTGGACAAAGGTTTATAAGCCTAAATTTAGCACACAAGCCTGCAAATGTATGTAAATCCATTAGACAAATCAATTTGTCTCCACAGGCATGGTTATCATCCCTCGTTATTGATCAACACACAATCAAATATCAAGACTAATTCATCACCCAAGTAGTAGTAGTAGTAGTTCATTTACGTCGCGCTAGAGCTGCACAATTTGCTATTGTCGACGGTCTGGGAAACATCCCTGAGGATGATCCGAAGACATGCCATCGCAATTTTGATCCTCTGCAGAGGGGATGGTACTCCCGCTTCGNGATGAGAGTAGTAGAAGTTCATTTACGTCGCACTAGAGCTGCACAATGGGCTATTGGCGACGGTTTGGGAAACATCCCTGAGGATGATCCGAAGACATGCCATCGCTATTTTGATCCTCTGCAGAGGGGGTGGCACCCCCGCTTCGGTTGTCCGACTACCTGCACTCGAAGTGGAGCACTTTAAGGTAGAACAGTTTAACGAGGACCAATACCGCACACCCTCAGTCCCCACACAGACTGATCCAAGCGGTCACCCACCCGCACACTGACAGCAGCCAGTGATGCTTGACATCGGTGATCTGCTGGGAACCGTGTCTTAACGATCAGTCCACTGCGGGACTTCATCACTCAAAGTCAATATTCTTAGTTGAGTATTATGCAAAGAAAAATACATAAATGTTTTGATTTGTATTATGTTCGTTTTGCTAGAAATATTAATTTTTCATGTTGATGATAATACCATAATTATGTAACGCAGATGAGATTTGACGAAATTCACAATGTAGACAGTATGTAGAATTCAATGTAGACAATTCAGAGTAGACAATGTAGAATTCAATGTAGAAACAATCGAAAGACGATATTTGAAGATTAGCACAAATAAGTAGTGACGGAACTGATATCTTTATTCCAGCTATCGCTAGATGCCCTTTAATACAAAAACGAATTTGTAAGATTTGCACCTTGCCTTTCACTAAGTCATCAGATTTAATAATATTGAACTGACTTCCATCTTTATACTACTATATAGGTGACAAAAATTAACTATCATGAATTCTTGTCTTCTGATGGATTATTATTTTTGTTAGCTATCTTCGTTTTGTGATGAACTGTATTGATTTTTATGCAAACTACCTTCGCCTTGTGACGGATAACTGTTTGTGCTTGTTATCCCTAATTGTAAATTAATCACACGATTTTAATGAACTTCTTTTGCTTTGGATATTCTTCCGACAACATCCTTTTTTTGCGGATACATTTTCGTCATCAGAGAAAGAAATAATTTCAGGTAAGCTTTAAATATTACTGATAATGCCAATTGAAAACTGATCATGCCAATTGAAATTGGAAGCAAGTTGTAAGAACTTTTGTAGCAAAATGCGTTAAGTGATGGCAATTTTTTTAATTGAATTTAAGGTAATATTGATTAGTTTAAGTATTCTATGTTATATGTGAATGCAATATTTATTTATTTTTCATAGATTTCAGGCAATTTTTAGATCAGGTTAATTTTACAATTAGATTTCAGGTAATTTTCAGTAGAGTTTTTGTTTTGATTTATTTAATGGTGTTAAATTAAATGTGGAAAAAATATGTTGCTGTTTTACCACGCGAACAAAAATTTTATTCAATGCCAAATTATTTTTTTTAATACCAAATAATTTAATTGCAAATTGAAATATTTTATCCCCCTCATATTTATTTATTTGTAAAATATTTGTTACTGAAGAATTGTGTGTATTTAAAAAGTATAATTTTTTTTCGCAAATTTTATTGGGGAAAACTCTTTTTATTTACTCTCAACCGATAGCAAATATATGATTTTGGGATTTAGATAAATTTGATTTAAAATTCGAAATTCTTATTTCGAAATTTTCTTTTTTCTGAAAGAAAAGTTGTTCAAAATGTTTTCATTTCGTTATTTAAAAATGCAAAACAGTATTTTTACCACCTTAAACATTAAAAAAATGTTTTCACGTTATAATATGTTTTTAAATCTATTTTTATTACTGTTAAACTTTTATCTAAAGTTTTTATTCCTTTGAATAGAATTATTGATTTAATGTAATTATATAACACTAAATCTAAGACTGGATTCAAGTCCTTAAGGAATAGGAAAACATTTCGAGGAAATTTGCGGGAAAAAAATAAAAATTTAAATATTGAATGCATTTATCTATAAGTTAAAATAATATTTTTTCAAAAATATATTCAAGATTATACATTTTTGAATATTATCATTTTAAACTTAGTCCCATGCGTATAGACTAATACAAAAAATATTGCCATACTCAAATTCGTGACCTTCATATTCGACCTCTTGCAAACCTTAAGATAAATAATTGTTTAATAGTTTTACATAGCAACAGAGTCTGAAAATTTCAAGAAAATGAAAAAATGTAAACTATTCAAGCCTGTTTGATTTTTAAAGAAATTGGCTCTTAATATTTAATAATACATGGCATGAATAATTTAAAAGTGCAGACTAGTTAATTTGTCCTAGAGAAATATTTTTAAATAGCAAAGCATACACGTATTTTCTAAAAACTTATAACGATGATCGTATTTAATATGACCAAGGTTTTATGCAGTTTCATAAAATAAGTTTTTGTTTTTATAAGTTGATCCAGAATTATTTAATTTTTTCTAAAGGGACAATTTCAAAGTAAAAAAGGAGGAAAATTATAATATTTAAAAATACTTTAATGAATGCTTTGTAAGGCTTTTAAATAGATTTTTTTTCTTTGCTTATCAATTTAAATGAGTTTTGTGTTTTTTATCGTAATTATTTTGTAGACAAGTAATGCAATAAAAAAGTAATGAGTTTGTTTTATTTATATCTGACAAAAACTGTTATGAAGCATAAAATTTTTTATTCTTAAGCAGGAATAAATTTTCTTTTACTTTAAACAGTTTAAATCATGTCATTAGAGTTTTTGTGCATGCTTTTAAAGCATGTTTTTTAACGAGATGAACAATTAAATGTAATAAGCAAAATTCGTGACATTTCCTTAATTTCTATTGTCATGTCATAAAATATGCTTGATGTTTTTCAACATTCGTGTCTTTATCCTAAGAAATTCTTTTATTAAGTTGAACAAGCATAAATTTATATGATGAATTATATGTCAAGTAAAATTCCGTAAGTTATACCAAAGGTTTGACATGTCGTTGTTTTTGGAAAAAATACAATTCTAGTATGTAAGCGTAATGAAATATTATTTTTAAATGAAATTATCTACCTATCTACATGTTTAAAACAGAATGTTTGATGAATATTCATTAGACAAATTTTCAATTTTCAATCGACTCGAATCAAATTTGGTGCTGTTGCGCATGAGCTTGGTGTAAGCATTCTTCATTATTGGTGTTTACATTGTGAGCACCAATGAATAATGAAATATTATTGAGTAATGAAATATTATTCCTAAATGAAATTATCTACCTATCTACATGTTTAAAACAGAATGTTTGATGAATATTCATTAGACAAATTTGCAATTTATGACCGACTCGAATCAAATTTGGCGCGAATGCGCACGATCTTGGTTTTATTATTCTCTATTATTGGTGGTGAACTTTCTTTGAAGCGTATACAACGTTTCAAACTTTAATTGTATATGAAAGCTTGGTGTTAACTTGAATAAAATCTCTCACACAATATTTTGAGTTATTCAGCATCAAATTCGGAAATATGTTATATCGCAGTCATTGAAATGTACTTACGCTATTAATATGTACTTCTATAAACTACAGAGAGTTATACATTTTCCTATCCATTACTACAGCTTGTAAAATGATTCAAAATGTCAAATGCCATCCCCGTGAACAGTGTGCTAAAAAGCAAACGGACCATCCTAAATAACTTTTGATCTAATCTAATAATGATCAGATTTTTACGTTTCAGGACTCAGTGGTCCGAGAGGGTAACCTCAAATATGCTAATTAATGAGTCCATACGATATTTTACGTTACGAAATCACTTTCTCTAAATAAGCATACTTTTCTATCGATGGATTCGGATTTCTGATCACGAAAATACAGGATGTAGCCGCAATCTGAGAAATAGGGTTCCAATAGTTTGGTCAGTAGAGTGATCCAAATTTTGAACCCCTTAATGCTAACTTTACGTTTTGCGTATTTTTCCATATCTTGAGAGCCTTTGAAGCGAATCTAAAAATTTTTGCCCAGAATTATAAAATTCGTATGGTCCAAAGATAATTGCAACCAAAGAAAAACTTTTAGTAAATATTTATTATTTTATTATTTCATTTAATCGAAGAAATTTTGAATTTTAAGGTTTACAAATTTTTACATAATTTTAAAAAATGTAATTTTATGTAGAAAAATACAAAATTTGAGCAAAATCTAAGTTCCTGAGAAATTGAATTTTAAAAAAAGTCTTGTATTAAAACAACAAAATGTAATAAATATTTACTAAAAGTAATTTTTTGCATGGAATTACCATCTACTTTTATTTCATTTATGAAAATTTCATAGAAGTGTATATTTATGCAGAGGAGATGTAGAAAACTTAAAATATTTAAAAAAAATTTTTTTTAATTGCATTTTGTTATAATTTCCGAAATGATAAAGTGATAAAAAAAGCGTAGAATATCTGTCATTATGCTAAGATTATCAGCAATTAACAAGCACTTGCAATGTAAAAATAAACCCNAATGACTTTAAAAAAAAAAAAAAAAAAAGAAAAAAAAAAGTACTTTATCTTCTAAATTTTTTTCATTCTTTATTCTGATCACGAAACGAGGAAACTAACAATAACAAGACTAATTTTCCAAATTTTAAATTAAGAAAAAAAAAGTTATTTTTTTCACGTGAGGAGAAAAAAAGATTTTTCACTGCTCCCTAATGTGATAAAAACATCATTGCATTACTTTTTTAAAGTCTTAATTAATAGGAAAATACATTATTTATTAATTAATATTTTTAAATTAGAAATTTTTTTCGGTCTGTCAAAAATTAGAAAAATCAGATGTTGAATTTAAAAAAAAAGCAGATTAAAATACAGGTAATTATTATTTAAAAAAAAACTCAGTTGCTTTTTATAATTTATTAACTTTTTAAGTAATCAGATAATTACACAGTTCAATGTTAAAATATATTTAAGCATAATAATTTTTTATAGTTTACCCATTACTTATTATAGTTGTTTATTAAGAAACGCTTCAAACTTAAATAGGTGAGGGACTTGTTTTTTTGAAATTAGGGGAATTCTTAAGTTAATATATGGCGTATTTTAAAATGTTTATTTAAAGAGCAATCAGTTTCTCATTTTATTTTTTATAACATCAATTAAAAAGGGATACTAAATTTATCTTTTTATCTTATTGTGCTATTCAAGTACTGAGGGTAATCAACCGAGGGATGATCTTTACTGTCGTAAATGAACTTGATTGTTTTGCATTCTATGTGAAATATTAATCTTGAAATTTTTCATTCTCAGAAAGTATTTGACTCTTTTCGCTCAAAGTTCAAATTTTGTTACTTGCAATTACATTGGTTTAGAGGAAGTGAAAGTCTACATGCATGCACAAGTATTTTGGTTAAGAAGATATAAAAGTTTACAGAGTTTACAAATTGGTAAATATTTAGTCACAATTAAAATTAGAAATAAAATGAAAAAAAAAATATTTTTTTTCATGAAGTGTTCTTCGGATAAAGGGATTTAATTTTGTGAGTAAAATGTTTTTAACATGCTTTAATATTAGTTCCAATGAAAAGTCAATAAATGCAAGAACTAAAATTAATGTGTACTAGATATCAAAGATTTAACCACTCACGTAAATTCGGAACCTTTCCTTATTACTCCTTCCTCATATTTTGAGGGTAAAGTATTAAAATCTGACTGAAAAAAAAGTAAGTTTAACTTTTTCAAATAATTAGCACATTCAAGTTCGTTTTTAAAATCTGGAAATGCAACCATGTGCAGTGCAGAAAAAAAAACTCCCTTACCTTTATGAATAACTTTTGATCTAATGATCGGATCTTCGCGTTCTGGGTTGCAATCTTAATGGTTCGAGGAGATGACTTCAAATATGCTAATTAATAAGAGCAGACGATATTTTAAGCTACGGAATCAAACACAAAAACGTACTTTCTGTGAATAAACATACTTTTTTGTGACGAATTTGTATTTGTGATCCTCAAAATATAGGGTCCCCATAGTTTGGTCAGGAGAGCGATCCAAAGTTTGGACCCTTTAATTATAATTTTATTTTTTGCGTAGTATGCCATACCTCGAGAACTTTTTAAGCAAATAGAAAAATG